GCAGAACCACATTGTTGTTGTTATTAAGTGCCGTCGAGTCGGTTCCGACCCATAGCAACCCTGTATAGGGTTTCCGAGGAGCGACTGGTGAGCTTGAACAGCCAACCTTGTAGTTTAAAGGGACTTTGTAGTTCAGCGCATTAACCCACAGAGCCACACCAAGACTCCATATCTTAGAATCAGAGCCTCTAGGAAAGGGGTAGGCAGAATCCAATGAGAGCACAGTCCAGAATCAGGCAATTAGAAATCACCTGGAGTCTGGTTAAAAGCGACTGGAGGGAAGAGCACTTCAGCCCTTTCCAGGAAAGTGGTCTCAGAGGCACAATCCAGTCCCTGGCCTCGGGATCTTCAGCACGCAGTTAGGCTTCTCCCGTTTCCTTGAGCTTCTTTGAAACCCGGTGTTCTTCTGGAGTAAGGGGAGTCAAGATGCCCAGACGACTCCTCAATCCCCTGCTTACCTCAGGGGCTAGGATGCTCCTGTCTTCGCTCTCAAAGCTTGGCACCTATGGTTTACAGCACACTTGAGGCGCAGAGCTCTCGCGCCTCCTTTCTCCTTTGAGAGTGGTGGAATCTTTCGTTGCTTTCATAAAACCCGAGGCCTTGAAACACTGAAAGGCAAAGGGCCAGGTTCAGGACACCGACGAGGCTCTCAGAACCTCCAGCTTCTTTTGGGCAAATGGGGAGACTGATGTCTATAGTAATCACTGTTAGAGGAGAAACCCCTGGAATGCTTGGGCTCCAGATTGAGACCTAATTCGAACTTCCTGGGAGCTTCAGCTCCCACCTCAGTAAAATTGGACGGGTTCAACTTTCCTTGGCAGTTGCTGCAAAGATTCGAGATTGGCCCTATTTAGGGTCCACGCGTCGCAGGCACACACTAGGCAAGCAGAACGCACCTTTGGTAAGCACCAGCTATAGTTAGGGAGCCTTCCTTTGTAACTCATCAGAGTGCCAAATCCTCCAGTGCCGCCACCGCGGGCGTCTAGAGTCAGTGGGGTCCACTGAGACTCCGCCCCCGCCCCCGAGAGCTCGGCCAGAGCCACCCGGTGAGTTTTCCGAGCGCTGACGTGGGCAGATCAAAGCGGCCGCCCGCGCCTTATAAAGCAGTTTGGGCGGCCAGCGACAGAGATTGCGCCGGACTAAAGGGAGAGAGCTCCAGCGAGCAAACGACCGCCGGCCCTGAGAGCGCAACGGAGAGGCGCTTGAGTCCGCCGTGGAGAGCGCGCCAGCCGGGAGCTCAGATCTCTTGTACCCTTTTCCGGCCGCTTCGGGAAGAAGGCACCCTCGCCTCCAGTCTAACCCTCAGCGCCCTCCGGCCCGCTGGGGGCCGCGCTCGCCGCTCACCGAGCCAGCCCGGGCAGAGGGGACGAAGGTCGAGCCCGGAAAATAGACGAGGAGGTGAGCAGTGTCTAGGACAACCGGAGGGCGCCCAACGGCGACCCGCTGGGTCTGCGGATGAAAGAGTCGGAGAGGGTCTGCGCTTCACGTACCTGCCGCGACTCCCTTGGGCACTCACTCTCGGGTCCACTAACCAAGCCCTCTCCATACCTTCCTCAGCTTTTTAGAAAGCCCCCCAGCGGCGGCGAGCGACCTCGGGGGTTAGGGGGCGCAGCGCTTAGGACGATGCGTGATGGGGGTGTGTTGGCTGTGCAGGTCCTGCCCGAGGCCCCGAGCTTTCCCGGCTCTGCTACCACTGACTCTTTGTTGGCCAGAGGAGAATGTCGTGCTGGAGCCATCCCTGCGTTGGGGGACTTGGAGTCCGCGGCAAAGGGTGTGTGTGGCGGAGCGAGAGAGGGTGGCAAAGGGCGCAGAAAGTCAGCGGCTCCTACCACTTCTTAAACCTTCAATTGGGGGACGAGGAAACGGATGCCTAGCTTCGAGAATCGTCCCGTAGGCGGCGGCGGAGGGGGAAGAACCAACTGAGAGTTTGTTTACAGACCTGAGTTCTGGGCTGGGGCGTGGGAAGGACAGTCCTGTTCTCAGTCACCAAGGCACTTCTGGCTGAGCTCCCACCAGAGCCCTCACACCCCCATCTCCGACGCTGCGGTGCCCTGTTGTGCTTTGGCCGCTTAGCGTCCGACTCCAGCCGGCTAGTGAAAGGGAAGCATCCCCCATGTTTCCCTGCCCTACCTTACCCTTCCAGCTTTCAAAGTAACGGGTCTCCCGGGTTACCCGGTGCGCAGTGTCCGTAGCTGAGCAGACAGATCTCGCAAGACTCGGGGCTGAGGTCAAAGCCGGGTTACGGGACCGGCCTCGCTCCGCCTAGCAGGTAACCTTGACACGGTCTCTCGGTGTCAACGGCTCGCCGGGCCCATTCTACAAGCTGCGCGGCCCGAGGCTTCAGGCCTGGAGGGCGCGGACCTTCCCCACGACATAGACACGGTCTGGGCGCGGGGTGCGTTCGCGTAGGGAAGCTTTGTAGGTAACTACTGGCTTGGGTGAGTGCGGTTTTCAGGGACTTCCAGAGCCCAAGCTTTACAACCACCTGTTGATGGAGCGGGGCTGCGACTGCTGCACACGCGGTGCCCAGAGTGTGCGCAGCCCCGGGCGGGATAGCCTAAGCTTTCCCCCCAGCGGAGGTAGGAAGAGACAACTTGACTTTCCAAAGGTTATGCGCTTTGATGCGGGCACTCTACGCGTCTACGCACCAAGGGTGACTTCGCGCAGGGCCTGAAGCAAGGGGTCGGGCACTTCAGGGCTCAGTATGGCAAACAGGTGTTTATTAGAACTATCAGAATCAAGAGAACACTTACTCTTCACCCCATCCCCTCCCCAGACCACTGTACTGAAGCCCAGGAAGAGGAGGGGATTTGCCTGGCGTCTCCTGGCACAGAAAGTTAATCGCGGTCCCCACCTCGACCCCTGACTTAGCGCCCCCTAGCGGACCGGGAGCTCCAAGAAGCCAGTGCGCCCTGATCCGCGGGACACTGGCTGAGGGTGACCCAGCAGCCCACGCAGCTGTCCTGGACACTCTCACACCGGCCCGGAATATCCATTAGGACTCACAGACTGACGCTTGCCGCCCCCTCAGCGATGAGCTGAGGCGAAGGAGGGAGAAGCCCGGGACTACCGGGGCCGCTACAAACGAGTAGGGACTAGCAGGAGGCCTGGTTTTCTGAGCGTGCTGGGTGACCCAGGCGACCCTCCTCTCTCTGGGATAGATGGATTAAACAAGGATCTCGTGCTGCGAGTCCACGCTCTCCTCTCTCCTCATGCAGCACCTGCTTCCTCCCTACCCAGGAATGCTGCCTTTGGGCGAGTAACAGGAGAGACAGTTACTGAAGTTTTGGTCCTCCCTCCACCCCGTATCCAGTTGACATCGTTTTTGGTTCTGAGTAACGTAGTGAGCGTTCAGAGGTAGAAAGATACAGGTTGGTTGGGAGGAAGGGGCTCAGTTATACTCACTGAGAGCCCCGCCTTGACTAGCGCCTCTGTGCTGGACGCCTAGTTGGGGAATTCTGAGGGGCTAGGGGATATAATTCAGAGTTTTCTCTTTGCTTTCGTCTGGGTTATCACGGAAAACTCCAGAAAACAGTGGAATTTCAAATCTGTGTGTGTTTAAGGCACACACAAACTCTTGGGAGGCTGGAAAGATCTCAGGAGATGCGTAGTGGTTTTTATGGAAAGGTAAACTGAAGATAAGGAGGTGGTCAGGGACTCACACAGCCAGAAGAGAATCCGCTCTCCAACTCCAGCACTACCCACCCCCCACTAGAGTCGGAGTCTCCTACCAACTGCCTCAAATCCTTTAGAAAGGAATCTCTTTGTCTCTTCTGTTCCCCAGGGGAAAGGGGCTGGGATTGTGAGTGAGTTCGGGTGAGCCAGGTGTTAGTAAATTTGGAAGAAGCTGGGAAGGAAGTTAATGAGGTGAGAATGAAGAGGAAAAGAAAAAAGGGAAAAAGAAAAAGAAAAACAGAGAAAGTGACTCTGGGGCTGCCCGAAGGCGGGGCCGGTGGTTCCTACGCGGCCGGAGTGTGCCGCCTGGCGGCCTAAGGAAACATCAGACTAATTCCCTTAGACTGGCAGCGGGGCTATTAAGCCGAGCTCACGCTTGGACAATACCCGACCGTCCAAAGAGGAAAGGCTAGAGAGGGACTCCGAACAGCTAGCTTTTATACAGTACAAAGAGTTTTTTGCTACCCCGTGCCATCCATTTCCCTTCACAGTTGGCGAAACTAACAGAGCAAGCCCCATTTCCTTGTCTCCTCGCGGTCTATGATCTCACTGGACTCCCGGGTAGACCGGGGAGTTGAACACCTGGCACTGGCCTGAGATTCACTGGCCAAGCAATGCCATTCCATCTCTCTGGGCCTGTTTCCTCATCCGTGAGATTGGGGGAAAGTGATAGTACCCATTTCACTGTGTTGCTGGGAGGAGCAAATTGGATCGTGTTAGGTGAACAGTCTTAGGTAAATATTTCTTGAATCATCCGCAGTTTACAGAGGTGGGAAACTGAGGTCAGGAGCTCAAGGCCATAATAACTAATAATCAATATTACGGGGAATAAGAACCCAGGTTTTAGGCCCCGAATGTGTTTCTCTTCCTTTGGCCCACGATCTCCTTCCCTTTGACTAGTGTTCTTTCCGTCTGTACGTCTGAGTTTCAACCTATGCCTCAGTTTCTTTCCGCCTGAGCGTCTCTCTCCTTCAGCTGTCAAGAGGCTCTATAGCTTCCGTCTCTCTCTCGGGGTTACTGGTCCTCTCGCCCCCGGTGCTTCTTCCTGGTAGCCAGGATCCCAGCCCGAGTGTCGCAAAGGCGTGGCTGGGACACGGGGCCCAAGCACGGGCAGTGCGCGCGGAGCCGTGCTAAGGGGACACGTCCTCTGCCGAGCGCCGGGAGCACCTAGGTAATTCGAGCCTGACGCCGGCCGCGTCCCTTTGCCAGGCGCGCGGGAGGGGACGTCCGCCGCGCGCTCAGTCTCCCTAAGCCCCGACCCCTCCTTTGTAATTTGAATAAAACACCCCCCCCCTTGCGTCCCCCGCCCAGCCAGCCGTCTTAACCCGCTGCCTCCGCTTTCCCCGACTGCAGGCAGCGTGCGCGCAGGAGGAGCGGCGTCGCCTTGTGGGTGGCTGGACACCAGCGCAACTCCTAGAGGGTCTGACCTCCAAGCGCGCAGGGCGCGCAAAGATGAGGGCGCGGCCGCAGGTCTGCGAGGCGCTTCTCCTCGCCCTGGCCCTCCAGACCAGCATGTGCTATGGCATCAAGTGGCTGTAAGTAGGGACTCCGCGTCCACACAGACGGGCCCTGGGACGGGGAGGCTGGGGAGGCAGAGAGCGTTAAGGGACCCCCTCCGGAGATACCGCGAGCGCGCCGAAGACCCGGTAGCCGAACTTGGCCTGAGGGTCGTGGATAAGTCATTCTTCTTAAGCCTCCATTTCCTCTTCTGCAAAATGGGATAACTGTCGTCCTTGCCTCCGGTGGGGTTGGGAGAGAAGATTCAAGAGAAGACCAGCCTCTGGGAGTTGGGAGATGGGAAAAGACACCCCCATCAAGGGGTGCAATCAGGAGGGTGGTTGGGGCTCCAGCAAAAAGGGGCCAGCTCAATCTTAGGTTTACTTGTCAGTGTCTGACCCCAGCTGGAGGTCCTCAAACGCAGTCCTGACCCCTTCTCTTGGGTGACCTTGGGGAAGTCACCCCACCTCTGAAAGCCTCGGTGTCCTCCTCCATGCAAGGAGGAAGACTTGCCCCTTAGATCAGATGAGAAAAGATTTATGAAAGAACCTCATAAACTCTCATGTGCTGTGCACATGTGACGACTATTCCTTAGATATAAATTATTAATGGCGGGATAGGTGGGAGAAAGCTCACTTCAATCCCGCAGAAGGGAGTGTCTACTCTGTTGGGGGCTGTGGATGTTGCCGGGGGAATGGAGTAAACCCAGCCCCTTCCCGCAGGAAGGGTTGGAAGAGATAAGCCCAGGCCGTAAATAACTCTGAACAGGGCAGAATCGTCCAAGAGCCCTAGAAGAGCCCAGAGCCCAGCGGGCGGGCGGGCCCAGAGGAGGGGGAGACCACCTGGTGGGGGCACAGGGAGACTTTCAGGAGTGTGGCCTAGGCTGGGCCTGAGGAAGTTTGTCAGGAGGGGGCAGGGTCAGGAGGCAGATACTTTGGGTGGATAGGTGGGGATTCCTTGAGGAAACACTCAGTGGTGGGAAAGTTCAGGACTGGACTAGGGTCTGGCGTTTGGGGTGGGGGCAGGGAGCCACACAGATAAAATAGGAGGGAACAGATCTTGTGGGCTGGGAAGGGCTTTGGGGAGGGTTCCTGGACTGGGATTAACTGGAAGATGAGGGTGATAGTTGGGCTGCCAGCAAACAGTCTTGAGGTCATTGGCCCGGCAGGAGCTGAGTTATCGATTAATTGGTGATTCACCAAGGGACCTCATTTTGTAGTTTGTTGTTTGCAAGGCCTGTGCTCAGCGGTCTCCCAGCCTTGGGACACCGACTTTCCCCAGCTGTCTGTGATGAATTTGTGGGTACCTGGCATCTTCAGAGCTGGCCTGGAACCTCTGCTTCATGAATTTCAAGCCTTCCTCTTCTCTACGTCTTCCCCTGGCACCATTTTACAGATGAGAAAACAGGCTTAGAGAAGAAAAGGGTTTGCTGAAGAACACTTGGAATGTAAGGAGCTCTGGTAGCATAGTGGTTACAAATTGGACTGCTAATCTCACGGTTAGAAACTACCAGCTGTTCCGTGGGAGAAAGATGAGGCTTTTTGCTCCGGTAAAGATTTACAGCCTCGGAAATCCTATGCAGGGTCGCTATGAGTCAGAACCGATTCCATGGCACATAACACAACAACAACAACTAGTAGTGTGAGAAACAGAAAACTGGGCTTGGGTGACATTGCTGTAGGATAACCACTGGACTGCTAACTACAAGGTTGGCAGTTCAAACCCATCAACTGTTCTGCAAGAGAAAGATGAGGCTTTCTGCTCTTGTAAAGATTCATAGTCTCAGAAACCCTAGATAGGATCTACAGCACCAAACAATAAATAGCAACCAGAGCATTGTAGGGGACCTTCCTCCCCACTCACTGTACAGTGGAGTGGGAATGTTGTGGTTCTGAGAAAACTCACCTGAGCTCCCTAAATAAGCATGTAGTGGGGAAGGTCCTGGAATAGATGGCTGGCTAAGCCTAAAGCCCATGCTATCCACATTTTGTATCTCAAGTTGTCCTAGAAATGGGTAGAGTTAAAGAAGTATCTGCCCTAAAGAAGCTCACAGCCTTTTGGGGGAGATGTTGTTGTTGCTGTTGTTATGTGCCCTGGAGTTGGTACCGACTCATAGTGACCCTGTACAGGGTTTCCGAGGCTGTAAATCTTTACAGGAGCAGAAAGTCTCATCTTTCTCCCGCGGACCAGCTGGTAGTTTCGAACTGCTGACCGTGAGATTAGCAGCCTGATTTATAACCACTATGCTGCATGCAAAATATACACAGTGTGTTCTAGGAGAGGGACCATGGGAGCCCAGAGAAGTGGTTCATTCCACCTAAAGAGAGCCAAAAAAACATCACGGGGAAATGACTTCTGGACTGGGTTTTGAAGGGTGAATGGGAGTCTGATAGACCGAGATGGATGGTACAGCAGACATCCTACATGGAGGAACAGTATAAGCAAAAGTTAGAGTCAGGACAATGTACATGAGGAAACTTGGAGATACTAGGAACATTAATGTGTCAGACATTGTTTCAAGAGCTTTTAGCCATGTAATCTTGATAATACTCCTATGAGGTAGGTGATATTCTTGTCACTCCCATTTTATAAGTGAGGACTTCTTTACAAATGTAACTTGCCCAAGGTCACACAGTGATTTAATCGTGGTACAGTTAAGTGTTGGGCTGCTAACCACAAGATCAGTGGTTCCAGCTTGAGGGAGAAAGATGAAACTGTCCGCCCCCGTAAAGATTTACAGTCTCGGAAAACCTAAGGAACAGTTCTCCTCTATCCTATAGGCTCCCTCTGAGTCATAATTGACTCGATTGCAGTGGAGTTTGGAGTATTTGGAGATTGTTTCATGTCAATCTTCCAACCCCCCTGTGTGGTGGGTTCTGTTATTACACAGAAGGGGAAACAGAGGCACGGGGATTGTTAAACTAATGGAGTGTCCTAGCTAGCAGATGATAGAGACAGGATTTGGAGTCAGACTGTCTAGCTCTGTGGCCTGTGTGCTTACCAGCCTGCTGTTGGTCCCAGGGAGCCACCAGGCAGTTGGGAACAGAGAAGTTCACTGGTGGAGTGGGAGACTGGGGACTTTCCCAGGATGCTCAGCTGTCCTCGCCTTGTAGGGGTTGGATGCTGCTATCCAGGCTTTGGAAAGTGAGCTGGAGATGAAAGGGGCATTTGACACAGAAACTAAAACCACATGTGGCTGAGTGACCAGGGACGGCTACCTGTTGGGCACCTGGGACTCAGCCTAAACTTCTTGTGGACTGGACACTGGGGGAAGGGAGGTCAAAGCCTGGTTTTCCTTGGTGGCACCTGACCAGAAATATCCTGGGGAATCTCTTCTCCACCCCACTGCTTGTTCACAGACTGTAGGTCTCACACCTAAGGCAAGTGCTGGGAGACTCTCAGAGCAGCAGGTGTGGACCCAGGTCTGGGCTGTCCACCTTCTGCTCTGGCTACCCTGTGGGGAAAGGAGGCTAAGTGTAGTTCTAACCTCTCATGAACCACTGAAGTTGTCCACTGAAGGGAAAGGAGCAGCCTCTAGCCTGCTACTCACTAGGTGGTGGGGCCTCTCAAGGAAAAGCGCCTCAGGAGACCCAGGAGGGTATAGCCACAGCAAAGTGGGGTGGAAGAGCTCCAGACTCGGGGGGTGAGGGGACTCAGTCCCAGCCTGAGCAAAACCTCCTCACTATCACTAGCCTTAAGGCCTCAGGCAAACAATCTACTTTAGACTCTCTGAGCTTCACTTTCCTCATCTTAGCTTGGAATCTGGGAAGCCAGGGTTCTAGCTTGACTTTGCCTCTAATTGGCTGTGCGCAGTCTTGACCCTCTCTGGGCCTCAATTTCCCCATTTGCAAATTGGAAGTTGGTGATGGTGTGGGAGCCACTCTTCAGCTTTTTGGTTGACAGATCTCTGACTGAGGTCAGTTGGGGCTCTGTCTTACAGAGGTGGGGTTCCTCAGGTGGATCAGCATGTGTGGGATCGGGTGGGCTGGCTTCAGTCCCATGTGAGGTCAGGGTAGGCATAGTTGTGAAGGGAAAGTTGTATCATTTGTAAGCAAGTCTGGAGAAATAGACTCCAGGCCCCTTCACCTGCCTTAGTTTCCCCATCTGTCCAGATGGGGGGAAAGAAGTGTCTCTCTTGGCTCTGGAGTTTTGACACAAAGTCTGGAAGGGGACAGGAGAACACCCAGGCACTAGGGCCCGGTGGCTGCTGCCTGGAGCAGCAACCACAGCCCCAAGTCTGACAGGATGACGTAGGGGCAACTCTGGGGAGCTCTGGTCCCTAGACCTGGGTCTCAGTTGAGGAGTCATGACTTTCAGAGAGGCAGAGGTCTTCCCTGATTGCCCCAGGGGAAGGTTCAAGGGATGGAGGCCCAGAGAGAGGATGGGTCTGCACGGGGAGTGGAAAGCCCAAAGGGAGCTAGACAGGGCCAGAAAAGGTCTAACTGGGAGCCTGGGCTTGCAGAACAGGGTCTCCTTTGACTTAACTGCTCTCCCACCCTGGGTCACCAGAGGCAGAATCACAAGGCTTCCCTTAACAAGATTCATGCGCCCTCAGCCCCGTCCTGGACTGTTAACCGCAAGGTTGGCAGTTCAAATCCACCAGCTGCTCCTTGGAAGGTTTGCTATGTACAGGTTTGCTGTGAGTCAGAACTGACTTGACAGCACTTCCAGATGAGGGATGGGGCTAGACTCTAAGCCCCATTCTTAGACCCTAAGCCCCATTCCTCATCTGGAAGCCCTTCTGCCCTGGGCAGTAGCGCAGACTGAAGGCAGTGCAGATCCACCAGGTCATGAGTGGCCTGGTGAGAGCACTTAGCACTGTGAGCTCCCTGACTTGGGGTTACAGAGACCCTTGGTCCCTGTTACTGAGAGGCGTGCCAAGCCTGACTGCTGGGTCTTTGGGTTAGATTCACTATATGCCCTGAGCCCCATGCCTAGGGAGAGAAGAATGCTATGGATACCTCAGGTAAGGAAGCCTTTCTTAGAAGGTGACCTTACCTGGGCCAGGTATCCTAGAGCTGCCTGAGGGCAGGGCTAC